TGTGAACAGCGTGCGTGTGTTTGTGTGTGCGTGTGTGTATAGTAGTCCTGGTGGGAGAGTCATGGAGACGGCCCACCTGATAGCTATCAAGTGCCAACAAGAGCTTCTCACAGCTTTAGCTTTGCAGTTATGGAGTCTTGTTGCAGTAAAATCCTTAACATGGCGAAAGCCTTTTAATTAGCACTCCCACTGTAGCACTTTACTCTTCATGCACTTAAGCTGTGATAACTTCACAGCTGCCACCTGCAGCGTTTTATTGTTGATATTCTGAGCTTAGTTACCACTTATCTTGCACTACAGGATAATGCCATATTCATTTAGTTTGTTTTATGTCTGACTTGACTTCGTATTTCACCAGACAGTTTGATGAATCAAGCAGAAAAAAAGAAAATGAGTTAGCAGCTGCAGGATACCCACACCCTGGTTCCCATTCTTTTGCCATTTTTATCACCTGTTTAGGTTTGTGTGTCCTTTTCTGTTCTGAGATACTGCAGTCCTTATCAGCTAATACTTGAACTCCTCGCTCTCTCGTCCTCACAGTCTTACTCGCTGTCTACCGTTGCTTTGCCTTAGTTACTCTTAAGAGGGTTCTGGTGAGGACCAATCAATTTGGGAAGTTCTTCCCATCCAGCCTCAGTCCTTTTCCCCTGTTTCTGGAACAGCCCTGTTCCAACAGTGAACACGTGATGTTGAACAGGGCACCAAGGGAGCTTTCTCTGAGCCATTGTGTGGGCCTCTGCCTTTACTCAGTGACCTTTCTCCCAATTTAGAATATATGTTTATACATGGACACGCATGTGCAAAATGCCAGCTGTAAGCCCAAGTTCTTTATAATACTGTTTCTAGTATTCCATAAAATAATCTCACATTTAGATAATTTAGTAATTTTTGCAATCTTAGTTAAATACAATTTTTAAAAAGTAATGTTCGTTGATGATTTTGAATGTGGTTCTCACATTTAGTAGATGTTTTGGTCTGGTTTAAAAATGGCAATGAAATTTTATTTGCTTCATTTGCTGCCAATTTATACAAACAAAATGGTATTGGTTAAGTTTGTATTTGTAAATAAAATTGGGGTTAACCAGACAGGAAAAGCTTAGCATCATGAGCTCTGATGATTTCAGGCTGTCTTCACCTTCTAGAACTTTCTTTTTCTATTTTTATTACATATATCTATTTTGTGAAATTGTGTATGCTGCACTGTTTTGTGGCAGAGCAGCTGCAGAAAATGTTTAGCCTGTATTTAGCAAAATACAGGCTAAACATTTTTAGCCTGTTTTTTAATTAGTAGTTTGTCCTAGCATTCTTACAACATTTCCATTAAGTTATACCAGCCATTCATGTCGAAGTGACTAGAGAGATCGTTAACACGCTTTCGGTCTACAGTTTGAAGGTTTTTCTGTCGACGGCTGCTCGTTTCCTGTGTGGTTAAACATACTTGGCTTGTACAAACACATTTGGTGTGTATCTCTGTGCATTTTTTTTCTTCTGTCTTCCTTGATCTAAGCAGTGCATAACTGCAGAACCAGTTTGCAAATTTCAACAGTAATTTGCATGCATTCCCGACAATGTTGTGATGGCAGACTGGGCAGCAGCTGGGCAGGCCCAGTGTTACCACAGTTTGCTTACTTCCTCTGAAAGGCTTAGTCAGAACTGGTGGCCAAAACTTTTCTTCATCTTTCCGACTTTCCTGTTTATCTTCTGTTATGTAAGGCAACTTATGAATAGGTGACAAATAGCCAGGTATGGCTATTGGGTTTGAGTTGAAAGTTTGCGCGTTTGCTGTCATTTGTTTTCACCTCAAAGTTTAGAAGATTAAATATGGGACCCTTGCCTTTTTTCACTTTTTTTTCCTTTTCTTTCTTTTTTCATTTATTTATTTATTTATTTATTTTTTTTGCTTTATGTACCTTATGTCAGAGACTTTCTGTGGTCTCGGGCCTGGAATTGCTTCCTGTGCTGACATCCCCTATAACGATGACGTTGGAATTCACCTTGCGCTGCTCATTGTGTTGTTGTTGTTGTTGTTGTTGTTGTTTATTGATCACAAAGTGCTTTGTTAATAAAATATTCACAGAGGAAGAACTTATGAATGATCACTTAATAATTCATTTAAAAAGCACATGCACTGGTCTTATCTGCACAAACAAAGCTGCCTGTGTGTACTATTGACCGTACGGCACAAATAGAATCTAAATCAAATAGAAACGTACAAACAGAATAGCAGAAACGTAATAGATTTCTGTCAATCAACAAGTGAATTATGTAATCATTACAGCTCTAGGTAGTGAGTACGGTGAGAAGGGATTGCAGCAAAAACATGAAGCGCCTGAATTTAGCTCGACTGAGAGTGCATTTAGCGTAATACTTACTGCTTAGCCACACCTCATGTTCTGCACCTGGCCCTGAGGTGCTTTAGTTCGCGTACACTTGTGTTAATTCTAAAATGGGGTTTCCCATCTGCCCCCCCCCACACACACACGCACACCTGTAACCCTTCTTGTGGCAGCATTTGGAACACAGACTGTATGAAGTCACTTGGTCCATCTGAGCAGCTATCCACAATCCAGTTGCTTTTCATCCTTTTAGCATAAGCTGTCATTGTGGTGTCCTTGGTGTGTATTTGTGTGCGTGTCTGGTTCTTTTGTTCTTTGATGGAGTTTTTTTTATTTCTTTTTTTTCCTTTTTTCCAGTCTCTTAGTCTGCTCTCCTCCTTTTCAGTCAGGTTTCACAGGTGAAAAGCACATGCTAGCTGCCCCGTCTCTCCACTTATCTGTCCTTTTCATTTCTGGAGGATTAGGAGCTGATGGGGGGGGGGAGAAAAAGGAAAAAAAACCCTTAGAAGCCTGCTCGACTTTTGTCCAGGCTTCAGTTGTCAGATTGTAGCCATGCCACACTCTTTTCTGTCGGGCTCAGTGGTGGTAATTAAAGGCATCACAGATGATCTTGGCCATCACACACCAACACACAGGCGCAAACAAAGTCAAGGCTGCTTTGAGTGCCATTGCAGCTGTTCCATGGGTTGACACACTTCTTGTGTAGTGGCGGTGTGGTTGATAGTACATATCAGGCTGGTTGACTTGAGACAGGCTAAAGATGGAAAAAGCTGTCACTCAATTTATTTAATATTTGAATGTATTATATAAAGAAGCTGAGAGTACAGAGTCTTGTTTCATTCAAAATAAGTTTTTATAAAAGGGGAGCATGGGATTGAAATGCTGGGGCTGTTTGAAGCTTTGCCCACCCGTTAATCCGCACCTTGTGACTGCTGCCTGTGACATGGTGCTAAAGTCCGAGCCTTTTTTTTTCTCTTTTTTTTTTTTCTTTAGCTAACGCATGCACGCACGCGCAGACACTCACTCACTCACTCACTCACTCACTCTGGTTTGTGGTAGGTGTTGAGATAGTCAGCTCTTGCCGTTTTTGTTTTGTTTTTAAATGCTACCTCCCCACCTCTCTCCCATATTGCTCTGAGACTGTTCCAGCCAGTTTGTGGCGGCTGGATTTAGACTGTCAAGGACTTGGCACAGTTCAGCTGCTCCGTGGCCAGTTACAGGCCAGACATTACCTGTTCTGAAAGACACTGTTATGAAGTGTCTGCACTCCATGCTGTGAATATTATTAGTTTTCCATTTTGGTGACGGGTGGTGAATTGACAGTGATGTAATCCAAAGGTACGTTCATTTCACTGCAGGATTAACTGGCTGGAAGGTAGAAACGGTCATGATGGGGATTTTTGAGTATCTATACACTGTCGTTGTGCTTTAGTTCTTTTAAAGCTACCTTTAGCTGCTTTGTTATTCACAGGGGGTCGTCCCAGCAAGTAGCTTCACATGTTTGAGTTTTTAGCACCAGGTGACCTTCCTGATGCAGCCCCAGGGGATTTGTCCACCCCTGGAATCAAAAATAGGATCTTTTGCTTCTGTGAATGTGTAAACCTCTACAGCATGGAACAACCTTTATGTTGCAAATTCCAGAAGCTGATATTTGAGAAGTGAAAACACTGACAACAACTACAAGCAGACCGCAGATCATGTTTCAGTTAATCAAGACTGAAATGTTTGCCTTTAATTACTAGGGAAGTGAGCTTGTTGGCTAGACACTTCAGTAATGGTGGAGGTGTTGTTGGTTAGATTCAGAAATACTTGTTGGATTAACTAATGGTTTGTATGTATGAGTCTGGGCTGCTGGGTAGTCACCTGCCACCTGTGACTCTGCTATTGGGATTTGTAAATGAGTAATGTGGAAGAACAGACGCACAAACTAGTACACTGGCGTGTTATTTTGATCTAAATTGTTGTATGTAGTTTAATCTGGCATAGCCCAACTTCAGCAGAAGTGTGTGGCAGCTAACCTGCAAGGAAAGAGGCATGCTGATGCTAGCACAGTTCACTTAACCACACTTGGTGAACTAATCTGACATTGTGTGTGTGAACAGTGTTGTGCAAGGCTGCAAAGTGCCACACATTTCAGCAGCTTTTAAAATGCTGTTGGAGGCACTGAAGAATGTGATCAGCAGTTTTGGTGGTTTCCGTAAAACATTTAACAATGTTTGAAGATGTTTAACTTTGACCTTTTTAGTTTGTTGTTAATTAAAATCACTTGTTTAATGTAGTCATATATCCCTAGTTATTATAGAAAGCCTTTTTGATGGGGAGGAAAAATAATCTTGTATAAACTGAAATTCCAGATTTATATCTGGTTTATTAAAGGCTCCTTTAATCTGTACTGTTGTCCACCCAGTGCTCAAAAGTCAACATATGTGGTATATTTAATCTCCAGACTAATAGTCAAATATAATCATGATATGCAAAATGTATTGTGGTTATTACCATTAATCAGCTGCAGATGTGCAAATTTAACAAGTATCATCTTCTGTAACGACCTGAATCGGTGGCCTCCTGCTTGTGCAGACACTTGTTATCTGTTTGAAATAAATGGGTGCTGTTTGTGTGCGATTTCGTTACATTTAAGTCTCCCTTTCTGTGTTCTCTTCACAGGGTTTCTGTGTTGACTTGAGCCGTACCTATATGGCGTGTGTGAGCGGAGAGTTCTGCCAGGCACAGCACCTCACCTCTGTGGAGAAGTGAATCGGCCGCCCCCCGAGGGACTACGCTACCCAGAAACCCCCCTGACTGCCAGTGCGCTAGGAGCTGCTGACTTTTCCCAAAGGCCCTCTGGGATATTGCGTAGCCCTTGGCCTGATTGCTCTGCCCTGTCCCAACCGATACGAAAAACCTTTGCTTTCTACTTTCTTCTTGAACAGCCAATCACAAACAGCTCTCCTGAATGGGGTAAACTGATTGGATGACTCCTGGATAGTCTCCTCATCTTCTTCTGTGTTATTATTTTTTGTTATTAACTTTTTTGGTTTTGTATTTTTTGTATTTTTTATTTTATTTTTAAAATCCCAAAGTACTGTGGACTAGTTTGTTTGTTTGTTTTTTTCCTTTTCTTTTGTGTTATCATTCTGTGTACATCATCCCATAGTGAATACCTGTTGTCCTCCTGAGCGACCCCCCTCCACGTGTTGTCATTTTTATTTATTCTACCCTACATGAAAACATACGTTTCCTAGCAATTTTTTTTTTGAGGGTTTTCTTTTCTTTCTTTCTTTCTTTTTTTTTCTTTTTTTTTTGCTGACTTCTGAGCCAAAAGTCGCTTTTGTTTTGTAAGAGTTTTGTATTGTAATTGTTTTTTTTAAAGCCGTCTCGCCAACATGAACCGCCCCGCTGCAGTTGAGATTGTCTACGAGCGCATGAGGTTCCTCATCACCCACAACCCCACCAACGCCACACTTAACAAGTTCACCGAGGTATGCTTACGTTTGTGTTATTGCTGTTTATCAGATTCCCAGGGCTCTGTCTCAAATGCACCCTTTCATGTTTTCTGCCAGGAACTGAAAAAATTTGAGGTGAACACTCTGGTTAGAGTTTGTGATGCCACCTATGATAAGGCTCCAGTAGAGAAAGAGGGGATACAGGTCTTGGTAAGTGTTGACATACATTTTTGCGGCAGTCTCTTACTGGATGTTTGTGCTGTTCAACTAAGTTATTTGATGACGATTGATGTTTTCTGCTTTAGGACTGGCCTTTTGATGATGGTGCCCCTCCTCCCACCCAGATCGTGGATAACTGGCTCAAGTTGCTCAACACCAAATTTCGAGAGCAACCCGGCTGCTGCATTGCCGTACACTGTGTGGCAGGCCTCGGACGGTATGTATGGTGTACAGTTGGCCTCCTTTTCACCAAAACCCTTTTTTCTTACGTGCCCAAATAACAGTCCTGCGTGCAATAAATGAGAAATGTAGTGGTATGTTTTAAGTTAGAGGGTTAGAAGGTGGTTATTTGGGTCCATATCAAAGTGGCGGCAGAGATAACTGAGACATCTGTTCTCAAAGTTAGATGTGCCATTTCCAAGGCAGCAACACAGCCTGTCCCTTGTGTAACGCAGCCCATTTGACCCAGTATCTCATCCTTTTGTTTTTTCCCGCCCTGTTAGTAATCTGGTTAGTGTGACCAGGGACCATTTTATTGCTGCGGTATTAACAGTAGCTCCAGAGAGATGTGGTCAGAGAAAGCATTCACTTGTTGTTTCTTCATTATTGATCACACAGCATTGGCTGGTCTTGCCTCTCACCCCCACCTCCAGAATTGAATCCTCAATACTCATTAGTGATTCATTTAGTAACTCAAATGATTGTCTCCTTTTTCTCCTCCTGCTAGAGATCATTTAAGCAGCTGATTGTCTTTTTACTGAGCACTATCATTAGTTACAACAGCCGGGCATTGGTTCGGGGGGGGGTGAGCGCTAGCTTTCGAATACATTCTATCTAGTTATGATCTTCCGGAGACGAAAATATGCACACTTCTTAGTCAGAAACCAGTGTGACAGTGAATTGCAAACAAGTTATGCTGAATAACAAAACAAAGTGTGAAAACAAATAAGGCATAAGCACATGACATGGGGGGTGTTTGTGTGAAAATGTCTTTCCTGACCACAAGTGCAGAGTTAGCCAATCTGCTCTCAATGGCTTCTAGCGTTTTGCATTGCTGTGGCATTCCAGAGACTTTCTAATTCCCAATATTGGTTAGACTGGCATTTTCTGACTGCGTCTCCTCTCCTTCTTTCCTGTACTTTGTTTACTGCAGTCATATGAGTTTTCTGCCTTGCAGTGTGATCTGCTTTAAACAGGCTAACACTTAAGCCTTCAGTGTAGGAGGCAGCAGTTATGTGCCGCCTTTTAACACAGTCCACACAACATTCTCACATTCTGTCTGTCTTGAATTGTATGTGAGAAAAAAGCCACTAAAACAACTGCTGTCAGCACTGAGCTCTAACCTGCCGAGTGGTCTGGAAAGTGTTTATGTTTGTCTTTTCTCACCCCATCTCCTGTTGTGAGAAAGGAGAAGCCTTTTACTGTAACTCATCAGTTAGTTTTGTGTTTGAGGCTCAGGGTGTGAGCACAGTGCCCCAGCAGGGCAACAGTGAACTTGTGCACCCCTGTTGAGTTCCCAGGCCTCTTTTTCAGGTTTAAACGCCCCTTTCTCATTCCTTCACCGCCGTATTACTGTGGAACCATGTGACTCTTGGCATTTAATCTTCTCTTCTCCTTCTTTCTTCCTTGGATGCTCTGTCTGCTTGAACTGGTGGTCCACTGGATTTCTTCACCTCACAGAGCTCCAGTCTTGGTGGCCTTAGCCCTCATTGAGTGTGGGATGAAGTATGAGGATGCTGTGCAGTTCATAAGACAGTAAGTATACTCTTTGCTTTTGTACTAGAACCATAAAAGGAGGCCAAGTCTTATCAAAGATTATTGCCTTTTTAAGAGACTTGCAGTGTAAATCAGACACAAGGTGTGCTGATACTGAAAACTCAGACCTCCATAAAACATAAGAAATGATTAAATGCATTTAAGTTGGAGGGATTTAGAGTCATGGAACTTTTTTTTTTTTTCTGCTAGGTGATATCAAAGGTCCTTTTGGGAGGAAGGTGCTTTCAGAACTTTTTTGTTTTTCCTTCCCTGGTTGGAAAGCTAATGCACTGTATTAGTGAGTTGGTTGACAGCATAGCAACATTTGGGCTATCAACAAAAAGTTGAAGGATGCTGTGAACAGAGCTATGGACTCATGATAATCAGAGTTAAAAGGGACCTATTTTTATGCTGTTTTAATTTAGATAACCTGGCAAGTGAGGTGGACTGAAATGCCTGATTAATATGTGCCTTTCACCCACATTACCAGCATGTGCTGCTCTGTGCCCAAAGATGGCATCCAGTAACTATAACAATTCACTTGGCGGTTTTTCCTGTAATCCTGCTTAATCTTAATTACTTTTTGTGTTTGGATGGCCCAAGCAGTTGAAAGGAAATGCTAGCATGTTTTGTTTTATCCTTTTTTTTTTTTAGTTTTTTTTTGAAGAGCTATTTGACATTAGCTGTGTAAATGACAGTCCTTCTTTAATGTATGCTGTTTACATAGGTGTGTTGTTTGCTTTAAATATGCCAGTTGCAGTGTGCTGCACCAAAACATCATGTGATCCCATCTAGACCAATGACAGTACACTTGAGTCACTGAGAAATTCCCATTTTAAGCCCTTACGCCAAAGTAGAAGATGGAGTTCTAGGAATTCAGAAGTACTAGTTCTGACTCGCTTGAAAATGCTTGTCAATCTTTTATAACTCCTGTAATCACCGTCATGTTTTAATGTGCTGCATTCTTTGTAGTCACGTTATTTAAAGAGCCTCTCCTTCTTTTCTGGTTTTCACAGGAAGAGACGTGGAGCCTTCAACTCCAAACAGCTTCTTTACCTCGAGAAATACAGACCCAAAATGCGTCTGCGGTGCAAGGATAGCATCTGCTGCGTTCAGTAGGCTGCCTGTCAGTGCGTCTTTCTTGTGCACATCTAGTGGGGAATCTTCCGATAACGGGAGAGATTTAAAAAGAAAAAACAAAACAAAACACGGAGAGTGCTATCAGTAATTATTGTGATGATTTGTTAACACTGAGTCATGGTTAATTGAGAAGGAAGCGAGTGATCAAATGAATGAGTCCAGATCTGGGGATCCACCAGCCGAACCAATGAATGGAAGGTTAAAGCACACAGATAGGCCCGCCACCCGGTTTATACTGTTCAACCACGGGCCAGAATTTTTCAACTTGAGTCCATCCTGTCTCTTATGGGGTTTTTATTTTACTTTTTTTTTTTTTTTTTTGTTCCAGTTTTAATCATGGGATAACAGTTTCCATTTTTTGTGAATGTTTATTTTTACACAAATGTGGTGATGAAATTATATATTCTCATTTTGATTTCCACTATTGATATTTTATAATTGGGCCAGAACGACATACTTTTTTTTTTTTTTTTTTTTTTTTTCTTTTTTAAAATACACATTGTGACTGTGTCTTTTTTTGCACAAAACTCAAAGGTTCACCTGAAAAATGCAGTAATGTTTTTTTTCTTCTTACCCTTCACTTGCTTTAATGTCACTTTCAGTTTAGGGGGTCACTGAGTTTGAATATGTCTGTAATATTTATTCACAAGATATGTGTGGCAGTTAAGAGTTTGGCAGGGGCAAGGACACTTTGTCATCCAATAGTTTTAGTTTTATCTGTTTGAGAGCCATGTCTTTTTTCTTCTTCTCTCTCTTTTTTTTTTTTTTTTTTTTTTTTTTTTTTAAATCTTGTTGGAGTGCAATAATCAGTCCACCTCAGAAATGTCCGCCAAACCCTGCTGAGTGTCCTACGCACACATACACACAAACTTCAGATTATCATCCAGGCCGTTTTAAAAAATAAAAAACAAAAAAAAAAATACAACAAAAAAACAAAAATGTAACTACAACAGGTACTTGTAATTTCATTCTCTCTCCCTTCTGGGGCTACAATAGGACTTTTTACAGGTATGCGTATTTAAACTCTTACACAGAGCCTAAGATTCAATCTGAAAGTCAAGCTGGAGAAGAATGAAAGTGGTCAGTTTTTTATCATTGTACCCATTTTGAAAACATCCCCAATTCATATTTGTTCTTTAAAGATAAATAAATTCAAATAAAAAGCAAACTTGTCTCCTTCCCACCCCCCCACCCCCCGAGGTTGTCACAGTCTGAGTGGGCACGGGCGTGATGTGTAGTGAAATGGGTGTTTCGTATGGTGCTTGTGGCAGATAAGAAGTCCCTGCCTAAATGCCGCTGTCCTAAAAGTTCACTTCAACCAGAGGAGCTTGTAAGAGATCCATCTAAAAGGAAACTATGGGAATGCATGGTTTCCTTTGTTTGGAGCAGTGAAGTCTAATTTCATTTCCTGGGCCACATGCAACGTACTTGGAGCTTAAATGGGAAGTCAGTGTAAAGACATTTCACCTACACAATCCCTGAGATGTCTTTATATAATATGCATTTAAAAAGAAATCTTAATTTCTTTATTAGTAAATTACTTTGTTCTTTAGAAGTAGGAAAAGCTGGAAAATGTATGCGGGAAAAGGTTTTTCAAAACCATTCAGTGGCTGAATTAGAGATTTAGCAGGACCAGTTCTGGCCCCCAGGCCTTGTGTTTGACGGCTTAGAATAAAGTTCAGGGGGAGGGGTTGTACATCCTGTTGGATTGTGCGGTTGTCTTGTTGGGTTTGCAAGGCTGCAGTGTTTCTGGTCTTCCTGTGTATCTGGCTGATATCAGGGGAAGGGTCCAGCTGCAGTCCCGACAAACCCCCGATTTGATTCCTTACCCATGCTTTGTGAAATACCTGCTTCATTATGCTAAAGTATGACACACTTGGATATCACAGGATATCTAAACCAAAACTTCCTACTTCCTGTGCCAGTCATTGTTAAAAGTTCTGGTATGAAGATGGTGTGCATTTAAAATCAACACATAACAGTCAGTGGGTTTGAAATGTAATGTCAGACAGTGCCATCCAGGATGAGTCAGTACTTCCAGAGGCATATATGAGACGCATCACATTCCAAGGATCCTGAATTGAAATCCATGGAACAATTCTGTAACAGTAGAGGTGGTGGAAGTTCTCCCAGGGCTGCGGAAAGCTTTTTAAAAGCTTTTTTTCTTTGTCTTTTCTCTGATTGGTGATTCTGTACGTGTATTTTTATGTTTTCACTTAAAATGACAAGTTCCCAGAGGTGTTACAAACATAGGTGCTGAGGTGAGACTTTCTTTTAGAATGGCTTTGATCCACACTTTGCCTACCCACACATTCTCCATATTTTTTCATATGTGGGTATTGGTTTAGTCATGTGGTAAAAAATTACATTTTATTTGGAAAATTCAGATGTTTAAAGCAAAATGTCATCTTTGCCCCCCTCCCTTTGTTTTTGTTTTTTGTTTTTTAAACTGAACAACAACGCCGGCTCTCACCTTGCACTTAGTGATCAACGCAATCAGTGCTTCCGAGACAGTATGTTCTCATTAGACATGTCTGTCAAAGGAACTCCCCCGTGTCCTTTCCCCATCTGAGAGTGAGTCAGCACCACGTGGAAAGCACAGGACACCGAGGTACCGAGCGATGACTCACAATCTCAAGTGGTAATCACGACTCCTGCCAATACCTCAAACAATTGAAAGTGCCCCCTCTGCTGCTGAAACGGTGTCACGGCGTGAGCAGTGAAGTCGTTCCACTCACGCTGAGAGCGATGACAGTTCATTGGTAGTTGCAATGCGTCTCTTCCTCCTTTTTACTTTTGCAACAACACAAATTGGAGATTAAAACACGACTTAAAACAGACTTGTGCCTGTCTGCACTCTACATGGGCATGTTGCCAAAAATCCTTTACTATTACCTAAAAACGGCGAGTGCTGGAAGTTTCCATTCCTTAGAAGAAAGAGCACTAAACACAATGAAAACACCTCAGTACACATAAAACTGTATTACTGGGAAAACTAAGCAAAAGACAAAAGTAAAAACGATTATTCTGGAGAAAAATGTTCCCCATCAGTGTTAAATGGATTCATAGAACTATTACACGCTGAAGCTTGAGCTCATTTTGAATCCTTAATATCATACTTACTGTCCATCATCATATTCGCTAAGTCACATGTTTGTAGTGGTTATCCATAAGCTCAAAAGCACACACCTACATCTTGATTAAAAATAATAATAATAATAAAAATATATAATAATAAGCACACATCTCTCTGTAGAGGAGATGGCGTGTGAAAAAAAAATATATATAAAACAAAAATCAGCTGAATTTAAAAGGCTTGAGCAATGTGTGACACGGTTAACTGTCAACAGCTATCTTCAGGGAGGTTTAAAAATATGAATGAAAAATGAATATCTAGTGTTGGCAAAGCAGCTGAATTCAGACATTCTAATCGGTGCTAATATGAAAAAGTTGCTGAGCCTGCACCTGCTCAACTTGCCTGTTTTATTAGACCAGACATGGTCAGAGCTGCTTCCCCCTCTCCATCATCCTGAAAGCGTTCCTTGTTACTGTATTAAAGAAGTTATTAACAACTTTTTCACACGCCATCTCCTCTACATCGCACGTTACCCAAGATAGTTACCAAGAGGAAACTCATCTGTCACCATGATAAGTCACTGAAGCTGGTTTACTTGCTAATGTTATAATCATTTCCTGTATAATGTGTTTTTCCTCACCGCATACATAATAGTTCTCTCTGCAAACATGATTCTGTTTATATTTAAACACTTATTAAGAGTACTCTGTGAGGAAATTGGAATAATGAAGTGATCTGACATTGATGTTCTGCTGACACTGACATCAATGGAGTATGTCAGTTATTGCGACTGCCTACAGCAAGATAATTAGACTGTATTGCCAGTTCCTTGTTCCGTGCATAGCTTGCTTTGAATAATATGGACGTCATTTACTTCCAAATCTATGATAAGAGCACAGGAAAATGTCGTGCAAGAGGCTGATTGTTACACACAAGGAAAAAGGTTGCAACCACTTGATAAATGACTCAGAATGTCGTCATTGCTGGGTACAAAGGCACAATCCTGTTGCCCTGTGCTTCTTCCTCAGCACCAGAAACACTCATGTAGTTTTGTCTGAGTCTGACATCATCACACCATCATCACAATTTGGGGCCACTTGTCTTAAAATACCCTAAAGGTTAGTTTCACAGGCTGATCAGAAACTGGAGTGGACCAGTGAGAATGTGCAATAAAGCTCCAAATGCTTTGTGCTCAAACAGCCACAAAGACAATCTGAGGACAGTTGGCATGGGCCACCCAGAGGCCTGATATCAACATTCTGATTATCAGAAAGCCAAAGATCCACCAATGAAGAAGATGATGATACTTCGAGCCTTGTTCTTTGAAATCTGGGTAAGTTTAGATCAGATGTTATTTTCTCAAAGTGCACTCTGTATGAGGGTAATTGATACAAAACACCAGCCTCACTTCACTGCTCAAAAACACCTCACCCTTTCACACTCTTGACACGAAGTACCGAATGACGTCGCAGTGTTTGTTGCTATGGATAACACGGAGTGCTGAAAGCTTTAAACAGCATCAAGCTGACAGGTGGCCACGTAGAGATACCAAACCCCACAGTGCCTCTGGATCTGAGGCAAAGATCGAGCTGCTGTGAGGCAAACAAATGAGTTAAGTTTTTATGTAAATCTGATTACGATTGATTGATTAAACTATTTAGTTTGGGTAAATGTGAGACTTAAAATCACTCTTGATTTTCACACGCATTTGAAAATGGCTCAGGAGCAAAAAGAAAGGCTAAAACAAAACGGGTGTTATAGTAATTAATCAGCAGCGATTGCATTTCATTTAGCTGCTTGGTTTTATGTAATTTGTTGATTGTTACCTTCAACTATTTTGTAACAGCATGACTTTGATGAACCCTGCAGGATGTTGGAAAACACCTATACCAACCCCTCATTTTATTATTTCTCCAACTTGGAATATTTTTTCCTTTTTTAAAAAAAACAAACAAACGCCAGCAGGTATGTACATTTCTCTGCTTGTTGTATGATTCAGGGGAAATATGAACTGGTTACGCTAAAGCAGTAGACCAGAATTTGAAAAAAGAAAGCCCCTGCCCCCCTCTTTGTTGTACTGCGTCCCTTTTCCACCAAAGGAGATCGGGCATGTTACATGTGCCTATGAGATCCTTGAAACACTGAGGGGAGGGATTAAAACCCCAGTCTCACAGCCTAACCCATTCCATCACCCTGTTTTAGTCCTTGTATGGATTATTTTTCTTCTTGTGCTTTTTATACTACCTCTATACCTGATCGGGTTAAAAAAAAAAAAACAAAACTGCTATTGACCAAAGTCCTCCATGACAGCCTGGCCTGTCCAAAGCCTGAAAATAGAACCAGAAGAGGTGAATTCCCTCTTTGAACTACAATACTGTACTACTACTTCCTGCTATAGCTTTTGCAGGGCTGTCATAGATCGCCAATCTATTGTAGGACTAACACAGAAAGACAATCATTCGCACTCACATTAGAATTGGCAGTTGACCCCAACCCATACACACATAGTCTGAAAGCCACCACAGAAAACCCCGAACAAAGTAGGGCACCCTACTTCTTTCGGGGTTTAACCTCCAACCGACGTAGGGTTGGAGGTTCAATTCCTGGCTGCTCTAATGTTCATGCCAAAGTGCCCTTGGGCATTGCTCTTAAAGCACTGTTTAAAGGGCTTTTAAAGCAGAGTAAGGAGTCCATTTGGTGTTTTATGTCTTGCAGCATGAATGACGTGTCTTTCGGGAAAATTTAAATAAACAAAACTTTGCAGCTTTCTGTTGTCTGGTCTTGGTTTATTTAAAAAAAAAAAATCTGTATTTCTGCTTGTGTTTGCTTCTGTTTATCATGTGCTGGCCAAATGGACTTGTGTGAGCGCCAACATCTGGACTGAGGGTTGTTACGGCCCTCACTTTAAGGTCTATGTTAAGCATAAAGCACATTCATCTGTTTTTTCTACATCATCTGCCATTGCCTCCATATTTTCTTTTTTGTTGTTGTTGTTGTTATCTGTTTCTTGTTGTATGAAACAGCAATGGGAAAGAGTTGGAACTCTAACAGCCTTGTCTGTATGAGTTTACTTTATTCAATCCGTTTCATAC